AGGATATGGACCAGCTGAATGGCATGGCCCTGCACTAGAAATGCCACAACAAATGAAGAACTTTTGGTGAGGAAAAAAAAATTGGGATGTGTAGGCAGCATCCCTTTAGGTCCACTGATGACAGGAACTTCTGGCTAGAGTTAGGCCACTACCCTATGCCAAGACTCAGCTGGAAAGGTGGCCCGCGTGTCCAAGAGACAGAGGAGGCACCCTCAAAAACCAAAATTTGTTAAAATGCTAGAGAACCAAGCACAGGATGAACATTGCCCTCTTACTTGGAACCAAAAATAGGTTTGAGTAAAAACTGCAAACCTTTTGTCCACTAGAATCAGTAAGATCACTTCTCGAGACAGAAAACAACGAGAACCATTAAACAGCAACAATCTCTTGCAAACATGGGAATGCTACTTTATTGAGAAGGAGACTTAAGAGTTCAATTTGCTGGCTTGAAGGACCAGGACTTCCTACAGGACTGGCCCTAAGGCTTCGCTCTACAGGCTGAAGCTTGCAAGCGGCAAAAGGATTGCCTTGTGGAAACTGGCAAAGAAGTGATAAAAATAACTCTCTCTCCTGAAACCCTCTGGATATACTTCCCAAGTCAGACCCAAAAAGATGGCCCCCATAGAATGCAAAAAAAAAAAATTGTAACAGCTTAATGCAGGGTAACATTTTTGCCAAAAAGTCTTGTGCATAGGTAAGGGGGAAAAAAAAAAAAAAAAAACAAAATTTGCTAAATGGAAACCTTTAAAGCAACTCTAGCAAAAATAAAGAGCCTGAGGGAAATCTGATAAATCTTCACACAGTTCACTATCTGTAGGGACTACCTCCTAGACCAGGAGTGCCAAACCTTTGGCCCCCCCAGAGCCCTCTGATGTGTTCCTCAACCTCCAACCAGGGAAGGGCACTTCTATTATAAAGTGCACCACACTCGTAAGATATAATAAAAGTCTACGGCAAAGCAAAGCTAACCTGCAATGGTACGCCTCCGGCACTGGAAATCGCACCCAAATTGGTAACAGCATGTACTTGTAGTTCCCGTGTGGGCTGCGATTTAAAAAATCGTGCAGGGACATTTTCAATGTGTTCCATGATGCACAACAGCCCATTCAAATGCATGGGCTGCCATGTCCGCGAAATTCATGGAGCACAGGCCATATAGATGTGAACCCAGCCTAAGGTTTTGGCAGACCCCTACAACTGCATTCTTAAATACCAGAATTTTATCCCCTGGGTATGTAAGGCTCTCATTAAGACTGTCACCCCCCACCAAAGACATACTCCACTTTAGCAAGTGCTTCCTCCACAGAAGACAGCTTAGCAGCCCTATTTGGAGGATCAAACACTGTCAAGGTGAACCTCAGTCATATATACCACCTCCTTGAAGCCAAGGACGTAGAGGAAATTAATGGGACTCTTGTATTAGCCTCCATGATCCCAGCAGTGGAACTCCAGAGATGCCAATAGCTGCTACTGCCGGCTGCATAGCAGCCCCAACCAAAGCAAAGGATGCCTTGAGCAACATCTCCAACCATTGTTAGCTGGATTCTAAAAGACTGCATCATCCATTGGACATGCAAGACACGAAGATAAGACATCGCTACAAATGGGACAAGCTCCCCTTTTTTGGTGAACTTTACTTTCTTTTACCAAAGATTTTATTAAGCATGTTAAAAAAAAAGAAACATACAAACCATAACAAATTGTATGATGCAAAGCGACAACAAACAATAAAGGACAGTGAAACATCACACAACAAACACAGATACACATACAAGACCCACACTGGGGTCCAGATAACACTATGAAAGGCAAAGGGCCGCAAGGCTCGCAACCACTTTAGGAAATATAAAAGCTACATACAAGGCAAAAAAAAAAAAGAAAACACAGAGAGCCATGCTCTCATGAGGCAATATTGTCCCTGAGAACCATAGACCTGTAAGATGACAATAATACCAACCGATAGACAAATCGGTCCAATATAAACAAACCATATGAAAGAGGAGAGAGCAAACAGGAAAACAAAAAGAAAGAAAAAGTGCAGAGAGGAAAAAAAGACAGGCCAGCAAAGAAGAAGAGTTCGCCTGGGGGGGGAAGGGGGGAGAGCCGGGAGACACGATCCCCACATAAGGTGAGTGGAGAGGCAAAACCCAACACATCATAGATTAGTAAGTTTCGTGGTAAAATGAGAAACCGGTTGGTAATCCACCCACGGTTGTCAAACACAAAGAAACTTGTAGAGTAGGGTATTTCCAAGAACCGGCGATAGTCTGCTTAGCAGCCATTAAAAAAAAAAAATTGACCAATGAGCGTGATCCACGAGATAGGCCACGAAGTGGCTTAATAAGTAAGGCCTCAATAGGATCCTTTTTAAGGTTAATGGATGTAACTGAATAAGATTATAAACTCTAGTCCACAAGCGGCAGGCCACTGGACAGGTCCACCAAATGTGGAGCATCGTACCCTCCAGAGAGCAGCCTCGAAAATACAGTTATAATCCGGTATAAATTTAGCTAATCAAGATGGGGAAAAATACCATCTTGAAGTCACTTTATAGGAATTCTCTAATGCCGGTATGTTGCGAGAGCAGAGAGAAACTCCTTGCCACATAGACCCCCAACCCTCAGTAGAAATTTCCATCTGAAGCTCCACATTCCATTGCGCACAATAAGCAGGCAAAGGTTCAGCCATATGATTCCGGAATGATACATAAATTTGAGATAGGGCACCTTTAGTGGAAGCCAACGCCTTACAAAGCGATTCAAAAACACGAAAAGGTGCGAGGGAAATCCCATCTACGAATCAAACGTACCACAAAATGAAATAATTGCAAATAACGAAATAACTCCAAGGGAGGAACAGAATGACTCTCGAAGCTGCGCAAACATACGCAAATCTCGACTCGTAATTAACGAGTGAACAGTCGTAAAACAATTAGTTATCCATCGACGAAAGGTCATCTCATCGAGAGTCCCCTGGGGAAAAGGTGAAATTTACTTTCATAGGGTATAGCTGTGCAACCGCTTTGGCAGGGCAAACAATCTACATGAGTCTAATGCATACACCACTTCTTCTAGGTGAGGGCAAAGGGGGTATATAACTGGGTACTTTTTGGCAGACGCCATGAATCCAAGGGTGAACCTTTAATGATGCAGAATCAGGAAGTGGCAGTTTCAAATTAGCATGGACCATTTCACAGAAAAATTACCTAAGGACTTCTTGGACTCGGTTACATTCTGACCATGGGGTTCCTCAGGCTCAGAATCCTCAGATGAGACATCCAAATGCCTCCATTGGTCCTGCACTGTCTGCTTCCCCATTGTTCACCTATTCCTCCTCAAACCCAGTAAAAAGGACAGGAGAAAGACAGCCTCTGCCTTTAACACTCTTTCTAGCAGCGGCAAGCATCCTGCACTAATCCCTCTAAGTCAAATGGCAAACCCTCTTTACTGGTGTCCCAGGAGGCAGCAAGTGATAAGGGAATGGGACCAGACGTTCGTAAAAAACCCTCAGGGAAAACTGCACCAGAAGGGCTATGTCTGTCTGATGTCCCCCAGACCTGATGGTGGCCCTCTGGAGCCTTACCCCACTATGTAATAATCAAAATCGGACCTGTCCCAAAACAAGGTCAGCCCCAACACAGCTAAAAGGACACCTGTGCAACAAGCAACAGAGTATAGGTCACTCTAGTAGATTCAACCAGCTGCCAGTGCCCTTCCCAAGTAGGTGTACTCACGGAAACCAAACAGCTGCTGAAAAACCTGCCGTGTCCCCATAGGAATGCACCCAAAGTAGCCTTCCTACAACCCTGTGCTGCGTCCACTCTTCCATTCTGAGCACACCGGTACTACATTAGCAACATGCGTGGCCGTTCTGCTATTGCACTACTTGTGCACATCCGGGCACAGTGTGTACCAAGATGGCTGCAACCAGCAGCTCTGCCCCCACATTACTGATCGCACTGTGCATACGTGGACCAAGCATCCTGGAGGCAGGAGGGCACAAGCTCCGCTCACACCTTGCACCACAGGGCTGAAATTAAAAAAAAAAAAAAAAAAAAAGTGGCCTGGCAAAATGGACATTAGGGCAGTCGAGCAGCATAACAACATATGTGAACAAAAGCACACAGCAGCTGCAACTAATACAGCAAGGCTTTTCTTACACAGGCAGCTCCAAGCCCATAACATCACTGCCCCCCTAGAGAGGAGACCAAGAAGGAACATTTCACAATGCTACATATTTAAGGATTACCAACGGCTCAAGTAACCAAAAGGCTACAGGGCCACTCACTAATCTCATCACAAGATCTGTCTGTGATCTTCACCCATCATGGTGGGAATGTCTAACCAGACCTTCAGGGACTCAATCCGCTTTCTTGGGGTTCAGTGCCCTGGGCCTGTATAACCCCCTACTGGAAATACCTAGGTCAGCTATTACTGCACAGGGTTCTGCGCTGAACAGTCGCATTACAGGCAATCCCTTTGTGTCATTCACTTCTCTCGAAACAGAGCCCAGGTACCATTCATCTGAGCATAATAGCTATAGGAATGGATCGGGATAACACCAAACTCTTGAACCCTACCTGAAACATCTGAGCATGTGATAGTACATGTGCAAAGAGCTGGACATCAGTGACCACCACATTTCAGACATTGATGAAAAAACTTCCTCTTTGGGAGGGGTTATATAGGGGCGGACTTCCAGTCTTTTTACCAGCATTCAATCACCTGCAGCTATAGCATATAACCCAATGAGCAAGGAACAATATGATGGCTCTATGTCCCATTATGTATGATAAAGTAAAAGTTTACTCGTAAAAAAACTAAAGAAAGAGGAGAAAAAAAAAAAAAAAAAGAAAAGAAAAAACGAAAAAAAACTGTCTTTATAATAGAAACTTAGAAGCAGAACAGTCCGATTCTGGTTACAATTTTAAAAAGGAGTGTAGCCTGTGATGCACACTATGTTGGATGGTGATACCTTTTCTAGAGCCCCGCAGCTCCTACCTTCGCCTGAGGTGTGCTGGGGCGCTGCAGGGTCCCAAGAACCTCCGCTGGTTAATGGGCGCTGAAGGAGGCCACCTATTCACTGCCAGCTCCCATGGTCGCATTTGTGATGTCGGGAAGGCGAAGTGGCAAGATGGGCTTTCACAATACACAGTATCTTCACTTCTGCTGTCTGCCCTCTGTTAAGTAAAAGAAATCTTTAAAAACTGAACAAGGATTACCAAAACAAACAAGCATTCATATACATGTAATATTATAAAAGAACATACTTTTTACACGGTAAACCTTTACAGTGTACAGCCATACACACATAATTTAAGACAGGAAGATGTTTCACTTAGAACCAACGTGGTGCACCGTCTACTCAACCACAGACCTGTACAAATCAGGCTAACAAAGTATAGGTACACACAGGGTTAAACTCTTCTTTACATGTCTCACTACAACAAAGATTTTCCAACAAGCTGTTATATTTAAAGCCCAACTCTAGGAAAAAAATGAAATTTAAATAATGCATGAATTACCTTACTCCACAGCCTTGATTCAGAACTCCTCTTCATACAGTGTAATGAATCAAAGTCATGGTTTGCTCTATAAAGCAAAGAAAATTTCCTCCTCGGAGGACCAGACATTTTTCCTGCTCATTGTCTTCTTGGGCACTGGTCCTCTCACTGTTCCTGAGAGTTCTCCAGCTTTCAAGCTGAAACTTGACAGAGGATCCAGCCTCTGGAAGTTCAACCTTCCTCAACAGGAGGCATGCATATCAAAGCAGGCAGTGATGTGGCCCCCTTAAGAAGGGTACCAGGTAGTAAACAGAAGAGCGATGGACTGTCATGTGACCATGGCTTCCGGTAAATAAAATAGACACTTGGATAGGTTTGCTTTTTTTCCATACCATCCTGGAGCTGGGCTTTAACTAGTTTAACAAAAGGACCCAACAGAGCCCAATCCAGAACTGATCAATGTATAATGCTTGGATAAGCACTCTTAATATACATCTGAACCTTAAAAGCTGAACTCTGGGATAAGTAATTATTGTCTAAATACATGAGTGTGTATTCTTACTTTGGGTATTTCTTTCAGATCTATGCAGTAATTCAGTGTGAAACACTGCCTTTGTACAGGAGCTTTCTGTAATAAAGACCAGCCACTGCTGGACTTGCCCCTTGTGCAGGGTGACTGGTCTTTTACCTGACGCCCCTGTAGTTTTTTTTGCAAGCAGATCAGTGGACAGGCCTGCTGTGATGCTCCAAGGCTTTGTGCAGCACAGTGATGATGCAACTGCTACATTTACAAGCATCTGGTGCACACAAAGAAGATTTATGTCCTTTGTGGCTATTGAGGAACATGGTAAAAGAAAGGGTTTTGTACCCCAAGTTCAGCTATAAAGCAACTCTGCTGCCAAAATAAAAAAAGGCTACCTGGAAAGATAATTTTAAAAATTCTCACCACTGTCTGCTATTGAAATAAAGTAAAACTGTTTCTGAAAGCCCCAGAAGTCAAAACTTCTGGGAATGCCAGCATCCTGGTCCTCCATTACCTGTAGTGGTTTGATCTGCCGGAACCTACTTTACTACTGTGTCCTGTGTTGATATAAGGGTTGGTGGGAGAAACTACAGAGCGCAGCAGGGCATCAGAAAGACACTCCTGAAGTACTGGATTCTGAAGAGTTCTCTTCATTAAAGCAGTGGGGGTAGCAGAAGAGGCGATTATTTCCAATAAACCATTTTTTGCCAGGTTTATTTTAAGGACAAACCACTTTAAAGAAACAAGTACACAACATATGACAATGTATTTTGTTTGGATTTCCAGGATATCGTCTCCATTCCGATTTTTGTTTTCAATATTTTTGATATTAGTAAACATACGGATGTTAATGCAATAAAGCACGAATTCCACAGCATGCACGACCTTTGGTGACCTTGTTATGAGGTTAAAGGCCAAATTCAACATTCTGAACATGTTATACCTGTATTTAGGGTGTAACATGTACAGTTTCCTGTGAATCAATAGACTACAAGCATAGTCAGTTCATTGCGGCTGACAGCTTGTAGTTCTCAATGAACTATGAGGGCGCTGGTAAGTGCTCTTGTAGTTCATTGATTCTTCCTGCTCTTATTATTTATTTATTTCAGGTACTTATATAGCGCCGTCAATTTACGCAGCGCTTTACATATATATTGTACATTCACATCAGTCCCTAACCCTCAAGGGGTGTACAATCTAAGGTCCCTAACTCACATTCATATACAAGGGCCAATTTAGACAGGATCCAATTAACCTACCAGCATGTCTTTGGAGTGTGGGAGGAAACCAGAGTACCCAGAGGAAACCCACGCAGGTACAGGGAAAGCATGCAAACTCCTGGCAGGAGGTGCCGTGGCTGGGATTCGAACCAACAACCCTAGTACTGCCAGGCGGAAGTGCTAACCATTTAGCCACTGTGCAGCCCTTAAGTAACTACTTGCCCATATGGGAAGTACAGGCATACAGTTACCCCGAGAGTCTGCAGGAGCCTGACATTGCACCCATTATCTGCTGATTAAGGGTACAATTCACTGCAGGAGCCTTTAAATAAATAAATATACTATTTTTTAGGTGAATACTTTTAAAACACGAGTGGCCATTTTGTTCTGTACAGGAAGTGGTGTTAAGGGGAAAAGGCACAACAGTAAACTGTTAGTAAAAATTCATGAAACGGTGTTGAGAGGGTCAAAAAATGAAGGGTGCACAGCAGGATATAGACTGAGCGAAAGGCAAGCAGCTAAATAGTTTAAATAAAATATTATTACATAAATAATATAATATTGTAAGAATGGTTTAACCTGTCAAAGGATTTTTAATTCTGTGAAGCCACTTTTTGAGATTCATTTAACCCTGCAACACAGCACAGCTCTTGCCTAATTTTTCTACAAGGTAAAAAACAGTTGAGTAAGTCTAGGTTCACACTATGAAATTACCAATAATTTGCACAGGAATGTCCACCGATTCATTTTGACCGTATGGGCTCAGGTTGCACTGCATCGCACCAAAGTAGTGTATGCACTACTTTTGGAAATGCATTGCAACCGGATTGCATGGTAGTTTTGTAGTAGATGTGGTTTGCCACCTAGGGTTTTGCCATTTAGGGTGTCCTTAACACTGTCACCTGCTGTAGATTGCAAGGGCAGCGAGTTTTGAACACGATGCAGGAAACATGCACGGATCGCAGGTTCCCCGCACCATATTATAGTATAACCGGGGCTACAGGACCTTTCAAGTATATGACTGAATAGTGAAGGTACTGCTCTCAGCCAAGCCTGTGAGACAGGAGCAAGGGGAGAAGAACTGCTGCAGATGTGCACAACGCTGGATTAAAATTCGGCTCACGCAAGTATTTGGAGGGGGCTGGAGGGTGCTACTATTAAAAGGTTTTTTATATTAATTTAGAGAATGCATTAAAGTAAAACAAAAACACTTTAATAAATTTCCACTCCCCTTCTGCTGGGAAGAGGTACTAGGCAAGGTTATCCACACTTACCCTATTTGCAATGGTTGCTGAACCCCATGCAATTGACATCAGGCAAAACCCTCATATCACCAGATTTGTTAGACAAGATGGGGAAAATAAAATGACCCTATACTCTGATGATGACCTGCTGTTCCTGGGAGACAGTTTTCTTAACCACTTGAGCTCCTGAGGATTTGCCCCCCTTAATGACCAGGCCTCTTTTTGCTACTCGGCACTGCACTAATTCAACTGATAATTGCGCGGTCATGCAATGCTGCACCCAAACAAAATTTACGTCCTTTTTTTCACACAAATAGAGCTTTCTTTCGGTGGTATTTGATCACCTGTGCGCTTTTTATTTTTCACGCTATAAACAAGAAAAGACCAAAAAGTTCGTACAAAAACGATATTTTTTACTTTCAGCTATAAAAAATATATAGTAAACTCAAAGTTAGTTATATGGTATAGATACTGCAATTTACGCCATTTTTTTGCTATACAGCGCTGTGCTAGTTTAACGGACAATTGCGCGGTCATGCAATACAGTACATACATGAAATTTATGTCCTTTTTTTAACACAAATAGAGTTTTCTTTTGGTGGTATTTGATCACCTATGCAATTTTTATTTTTGGTGCTAAAACCAGAAAAATTTTTTGAAAAAAATGGTTTTTGAAAACAATATTTTCTCATTTCGTTCATAAAAAATATCCAAAAACTAAAATTTCGCCATAAATTTAGGCCAAAATGTATTCTGTTACATGTTTTTGATTGAAAAATTCCAAATAAGTGTATATTGATTGCTTTGTGTGAAAGTTATAGCGTCTACAAAATATGGTATAGATAATGGAATTTACACAGCTTTTACTTTGACTGTTCATCACATTTCTTGAGGTGCAAAAATACGAGGATAATAAAAAAAACTCTCAAATGACCCCTTTTCAGAAAGTAGACACCCTAAGCTATCTGCTGAAAGGCATATTGAGTCCATGAAAGATTTATTTTTTTTTTCCACAAGTTTCTGGAAAATGACAAAACTTTTTTTTTTTTTTTTTACACAAAGTTGTCATTTAAATGATTTATTTCTCGCACAAGCCATGGGTATATGTGGAATTACACCCAAAATACATTCTGCTACTTCTACCGAGTATGGGGGTACCACATTCCCCGTTTTGGGAACATAGCCACATACAGGGAGCCTGAAATCCAATGACCACTTTGAAAGCCTGAAGGTGCGTAACTTCCTCATTACACTTCCTCACTACCTATCACAGTTTCAAAGACCCAAACATGCCAGGATAGCAGCAAACCCCCCCAAATGACCCTTTACTGGAAAGTAGACACCCCAAGGAATTTAAAAAGAGGCATAGTGAGTATTTTCCGGATCTCATTTTTTCTCACAAGGTTTTGAAATATAAAAAAATTGACAAAATATGTTTTTGTTTTTTTTCTTCATTTTCCAAAAACTTGTGGCAACAAATGAGATCTGCAAAATACTTACCGTGCTTTTTTATCAAATTCCTTGGGGTGTCTACTTTCCAAAAAGGGGTCATTTGGGGGAGTTAGGTTAGGTGCTATCCTGGCATTTCAGGGCCTCCAAAACTGTGATAGGTAG